AATGGTGACTTAGAAGAAGTGTACATGACCCAACCTCCAGGTTTCTGTGCTAAGGGAAATGAGCATAAAGTCTACAGACTGAAGAAATCTCTGTATGGCTTAAAACAATCTCTAGGGCCTGGTTCAATAGATTCCACAAGGCTGTTCAACAGATGGGTTTTAAGCAATGTCAATCTGATCACACACTCTTTGTGAAGAGAGAACAAGGAAGAATGGCAGCCCTAATTGTGTATGTCGATGACATTATTATCATCGGTGATTGGGACCCAAAGATACAGAGATTGAAGAGATTCTTGGCCACTTAGTTTTAAGTGAAGGATTTGGGGCCTTTGCATTATTTCCTTGGAATTGAAGTTGCCCGCTCTAATCAGGGTATCTTCATCTCCTAGAGGAAATATATTCTAGATCTCTTGAAAGATACAAGGAAGCTTGAGGCAAAACCTACTGACACTCCTATAGATGTAAATCACAGGCTTCGGGATTGCAGTGATGAGCCCATAGCAAACACAAAGCAGTATCAAAGATTGGTGGGCAGACCTCTCTACCTATCTATGACAAGACCTGACATTGCGCATGCAGTGGGAGTCCTTAGTCAGTTTACGCATGCTCCCAGGGCCACACACTTAGAGGCAACTTATAGAGTTCTTAGATATTTGAAGAAATTCCCTAGGCCAGGGCTCCTATTTGGAAAACATGGGCATATGAGAGTTTATGTTTACACTGATGCAGATTGGGTTGGTTCTGTGGATCACAGAAAATCCACTAGTGACTATCGTGCCTTCGTTGGGGGAAATCTTGTTACTTGGAGGAGTAAGAAACAAAGTGTGGTGGCCAGATCGAGTGCAGAAATTGAATACAGGGCCATGTCTCATGGTGTGGCAGAACTACTATGGATAAAGAGTCTCTTGGGTGAATTGGACTTTCCTCTCAATAACCCTATGTCACTTTACTGTGACAACAAGGCTGCCATCAACATTGCAGCCAATCCTGTTCTCCATGATAGAACTAAACATATAGAGGTTAACAAACACTTCACCAAGGAAAAATTGGAAAAAGGAGAAGTTTGCACTCCCTACATCAGCTCTGAGGAACAACTTGCAGACATCCTTACCAAAGGATTAAACTCCATGCGGCACTATAATCTTTGTGACAAGTTGGGGATGATTGATATCTATGCCCCAACTTGAGGGAGAGTGATGTAATCTTAGTTATGTGTCGTAAGGGCACTTTTGTCTTTTACTGTTTTATTATTTTATATTGTCGCCCTAACATATAAATAGAGAGTGGCGCCACCAACCATACTTTTGGTCTCCAATCTTCTTTTCTCTATTCTTCTCTTCTCTCTTCTCCTCTCTTCTCTACTTCACTCATGATCGAAATCAGTATTTTAGTAACTTGAAATCAAATATATATTTTAAATTAATAAATATACATATTAGTCGAATTTGGATTTCTATCTAATCAGAGTAGGCTACATCCAAGTTCGATCCAATAATTAATTGGATGTTATTTGTCCCATCCAAATCCAAGATTATAGAATCGGGTTTCAGATTGGATTGCAAATTTTCAAAGCCCATTGTCAGCCCTATACATAATTATAACCGAGTCCGATCACAACTAAGCCTTGTCCCAACTATATAGGATCGGCTCTATATGAGGTCAGCTACATGAATCATGTTTTGTGATTCCATTCTGTTCAGTGCCATATGCGATTCCAAGGATAGTATCTAAGTCAAGAAGTGTTCCTCGACTTAGGATATTAGATCAGACAACTTCAAACTCTGGCCTTAGATGCATTAGGAAATGCATAATTTTTCTCTTGTCAAAGTGTTCCTTCATGTATTTAACACAACAGTCTGAAGGATCCTCTCCCATGTGAACTAACTCATATTTTGTCCAAAGGTTGATGAATCCGGCATAATATTCCTAGACCTTTCTATCTCCCTAATAGTATGAGAAAATGTCAACCTCTATCCGATACTGTCTAGAGGTATTCGATTGCTGATAAACTTTCTCAAGATATTGATACATCTCATAGGCTGTCCTGTACCACCCTCTCATAGGGATAGCAATATCAGTTTCGACTAAGCCTAGAATCCATGATGCAATTTTTGGGTTGTTGATCTTCCACTGATTAAGTCCCTTAATGTCAGAGTCATCAGGTTTAGATACAGACCAATCTAGGTATCCCCAAAGACCCTTAGCTTCGACATGGAACTGAAAGTTGAACTTCCATAATGCATAGTTCATACCATTGAACTTAATAGGAAGAACCTCCATCCTTTCTAATGCCATTGGAAGACAAAACGCAACAACACACACTTCCAGAAACCAAAAAAATTCGAACCAGGGAAAGAAAAGGAGAATACCTTTCTGCTGATGTCCAAAAAAGGCAACTGTATAGTTCTGCCTAACTGAAGAGTGGATCAAAACCCCTCAAAGACAAAATCGATCCAAACCAAACCAAAGGGATTCAGTAGATCTGCTCTGGGTGACACCAGATCTAAAATTTCAGGCTGATCTGATGTCTCTAAAGGGAGATCTGAAAAGAAAGGTGAATCCGATGGCGCAGCAGTCCAGGAAACAGATCTGTAAAGTTCAGATCTGTAGCCGATCCAGGAAGAGGATTAAAATGACACTTAAGAACTTCCAAATACTGTTAGGGAATTCTTGAACCAGTAGTAGCCGGGATGTTATGTGAAGTTCAGGTCGTGACCCGCTCTAATACCATGTCAGAGTCAGATCAAAAGTCAGAAAAAGAGAGAGAGAGAGAAGAGAACACAGCCAAATGGTGGGTGTGACACATTGTCAGTCGACACCCTAAAAGATAATATTTATATTAAAAGGTAAAAGGACAGATCTGCCCTTAATATACAAAAGAGAGAGAGTACAAATAATAATAGTTATACAACAAAGAAGAGTAAAAGTACAAAAATAGCCCTGCGGCTAGATTTCACAGTCTCTACAAGCTTATGGGTGCTTAAAGCATTTCCTGTTACTTCTTTTTTTTATCAATAACAGAATTCAATTTTATTAAAAGAAGTCAAGAATACATACAATATTTCAAGGAGAGATAAAATTACTTAACTCTCCCCCAAAACAACAAGAAGATTACAGAACTGCCCAAAACAATCGACCCCTACCCACCCCCTGTTTTGCCATATTATCAGCAAAGGCATTTGCAGTTCTTTCACCCAATAAACCTGGACTTCCACCCAAGTCCTTTTCAGTCTGCATCTAGTTCTTCTAGCCCCTTCAACTTGTAACAAAATCACTTTTCCTAACAAGTACCATAGGTGGCTTATGCACATGACCTAACTTTTTTTTTTTTTTGAGAAAAGGTAAAGTATAAATTTCATTAAAAGCAAAAAGAAACCCTGTACAACTACAGGCTGTAACAGGGAGAACCATACAAAAACTAAACCACTATCCCATCAACATTAATAAAAAGATCTACATAATGAAAAAGGGAACTAAACTCTGAATTGTTGAAGTTAAACTGAGCTGATGACCAAGAAAACAGTTTGCCCACAATTTTATGCCAAACAACCTCCTCTTGACTGCCCTTGTTCTGAAAATTTCTGGAGTTTCTCTCTTTCCATATAGACCACCACACAATTCCAGGGATCATTTTCCAAATAGCCTTTCCTCTTTTACTCAAACCTTGTAAATGCCACCCTTTCAAGAAACTCTCCACTGATACCAGACAGCAACTCTTGTAGGCAAATAGACTGTGTACTTTCACCCAGATGCTATAAGAGAAATTACAATGTCAAAACAGGTGATCAACTGTCTCCTCCATCCTGCTACAAAGCACACACTCTGAAGAGTCAATTCACATTCCTCTCTTCAAAAGGCTATCCTTAGTCAGAATCTTATTTGAATAGGCTGACCATAAGAAAAAAAAAAAGCAATCTTTCCCTAGTCCGATTGTTATAAAAGGAGCGGACAGAAAACTGCTTGTCCTTCCTCCCAACCACACTCTTTGGTCATCTCTATTAGGATTAAAATTAGTACTATAAAGCCTTTGCAGCAAACGAGCAAACAGATCAATTTCTCAATCATGTAAAGCTTTTCTAAAAAGGGGATTCCAAACACAATTTCCACTGGAGATCTGCAAATAGCCTGCTACCTTTGCTTTGTTGTTCACTGCTACTGCGAACAGTTCTGGGAAATCATTTCAGAAGACTACCTCCACACCAGCAATCCTTCCAAAATCTGACCTTGGTTCCTTTCCCACTTCAAAACTGACCTTGGTTCTGGGAAATCTACCTTTGCTGAACTGACTATAGGTTTTTTTGATTGAACTGACTATAGGTTTTCTCTATCCCTTTCCAAACCGAGAAACCATATGGCTGACTTGCTTCACCTGGCTCCCATCCCCCACTTCTCCATCACAGACTGTTCTCTTGCTGCCCAAATCTCCAAAACCATTTTCCGAGAAGGGCAGTATTTATATCTCAGTTTTCTGAATCCCAAACCTCCATTTCAATCTACTTTCTCTCATTTTATCACCTATTGGAGCTACTCCTAGGTTCCTTTGCATGACTTCATTTCTATCCCTGTCCTTTCCAGTTTTACCAAATCCATCTAAGCATTCACATTTCTGCCACACTCATTTTTTTGACATGCTGTTTCACTTCAAAGAAGTGAATAAAGAGAAGACAAGAAGATCAAATGACTTCTTCCTTTTTCTTTCTAATTGCAGCTTGAAAAAGAAAAAGTTGTAGCTTCATCCCTAATATGTGACCCAACCAATGCTTGCAGATGAGTCAACTGATGTCCTTATGTTTATAAACTAGCTATTAGGTGTAAAAGACCTGTCATTCTCTGAAAAAAAATCCAAAGATGGCAGCTGTCTCTAAACATATTTGTAAACAAGGGAAACAAAGAATAGCAAAACAAAAAATGGCTTACTAGTGACTGCGATAATTTGTCAATTGTAAGAGTTCCAACAACCACATGGTCCTAAAATAATTAAGTAGATACAATGTTTTTACCTGTAATCAAGTGATTTGCAATCACAATCCCTACAAAAGTAATATGAGTAGGGAACTATTTGCAGGAAACGGACCTACATGAGCAAAATGGCAATTTTATCAGCCCAAATAGAGTGGTTGTGTCTACAATACCAGACTAATGAAAATTTTGGCCATACGGACCAGGGAATAAAGTTCACCAACACGATTCTGAAGGGGAGTGCCACTTAAAGCCCATTTATAAGAAGATTCTAAAGCAAGAACCCCCTTTGCTGTATTGCTTCGTCTATCTTTTATATAATGTGCCTACATCAAAAGTATATTTTTATTATTAGATATTTAAAAATGTTAGTAAGATGAACCTTGGTAAAATGAGCTAACCATAAAAATCAAAATGCTCATACTCTATAGTTGAAATTTAAATCCATGAACAAGCCATAAAATAAGGGGTCAAAAAGTAATTGCATACCAGAAATAACTAAGTAATTCATATTTTCCAAAACAGACATTTTTTTTATGAATGAATATAATTTATTAAACCAGAAATATGAGGCAATACAGGAGACCCAAGAGGAGGCACGAGTTGTTACCTCTTCTAGCAAGTATTACATCAAATTAAAAAACAGAAATAGCCAGAAATAAAATTACAGAGCAGCCTAAAATAAATGTTCCCTTGAAGCCCCTTGCTTAGCTAACCCATCCGCTAAGGTATTTGCTGATCTTCCCACCCAAAGAGAGGTAACAGTCATGTTTCTTGTGAGCCAACTGACTTTCCTTAACAGGTCTCTGCGTCACCACATAGCTGAAGCTGGGTCTATCAGCCATCCCACAACAATCTTAGAGTCCCCTTCAATTACCAAGTGCTGAACTCCTAATTGTTCTGCAATCTGAATACCTTGTACCGTTGCTAACATCTCAGCTCTATTGGAGTCTCCTATTCCCACGGGGCCTGAAAACAATGCTAATATGTTGCTCTCCTTATCTCTCAGCACCCCTCCTATCCCCGATGGGCCTGGGTTTCCTTGGCTGCTTCCATCAAAGTTCAGCTTTGCCCATCCTTCAGGCGGAGGCATCCACACTACAGATTCCTTGTCCTTCCTTGTATGGCTGTTAGCCACCGCTATCCAGTTTCTCCAAATATCATCAAAGGAGAATGTGTGAAATAAGTCCATAGTTCTTAACCAATGAATGGCCCTGGTCAAGATACAGTCCTCAACAGCCCAAATGCTTCTTTCCTTTTCCTTGAATACCCTTGCATTCCTTTCTTCCCAGATTGTCCACAAGGTGGTTGATCTAATACACCTCCACATCATCTTTCCTTTTTTTTGTAGGCCACACAAAGAAGGAAGGATCAAACAATTGACTTAAATCTGTGGACAAATTCCACCTACACCCAAACAAAGAAAAAATCCAACTCCAAATAGCACTAGAAAAGGAACAAGATACAAGTGAGAGCAATCCTCACCACTAGACCTGCAAAGTACACACCAATTAGGGAACAAACACAAAGAAGACCTTTTCTTCTACAAGTAGTCCAAGGTATTAATCTTTCTATACAACACCTCCCAGCAAAAAATAATAACTTTAGGTGGAACCGGTCTAGACCATATCTCCTTGGTTGGAAAACCCCACTATCCTTGGGAAGAGCAAAGGGATTTAAAAAAGGAAGCACAAGTGTAGTAGCCTTTTGGGTGAGGGGACCATAATCTCACATCCAAACCAAGAGGGTCCAGAAAGACACTGCCAAGATGGGACAACAGTTCTGAAATACTGTTAAGTTCATCATCCCTCAAACCTCTCTGAAAGCCAAAGTCCCAACTTAAGGAGGGGGGGTGAATTAGGAGATGGGAGAAAATGAGAGATAGCTTTTTCCTTGTAAAGGGAAATAGAATAGAGAGACGGGAATTGGTCCTTAAGGGCAACAGTACCCACCCAAGTGTCTTTCCAAAATAAAACAAAGATACTGGAATTGACATCATACCTGACAAAGTTGAGAAACTGAGGGAGGATACTCTGGATTGCTTTCCAAGGAGATGCCAATGTAGCTTGACGTGATACACCCGCATCCCATCCATTTTCCAGTCTACCATGTATACTAGCTATCACTTCATGCCACAACCTCTCCCTTTCTCTAGGCCATCTCCACAACCATTTTCCTAAGAGAGCTTTATTCTTGAGAGTTAACCTTCCTAACCCAAGCCGCCTTCCTCTTTACTCCTACAAACTATTTCCCAATTGATTAGGTGGTCTTTCTTATCCTCCCCTGGCTCCCAAAGGAAATTTCTCATTAATCTCTCCAACTTCTTAGCTTCCCTAGTAGGAATCCTAAAATCGGAGAGAAAATAAACGGGTAGGTTTGCTAGGGTAGCTCACAATAAAGTCACTCTACCCCCTATAGAGATGTAGTTCTTTTTCCAAGAAGTTAATCTTTTCTCAAACTTTTCCAAAATTGGGGTCCAAAAACTACTCTCTTTTGGGTTAGCCCCTAGAGGGAGACCTAGGTACTGCAATGGCTAAGAAGAGACAGAACAACCTAAACAATCTGCCGCAGACTGAATAATCCCCTCATTCATGTTAACACCTACCACACAACTCTTATCCAGGTTTATCTTCAAATTGGAGACCTTCTCAAAGTGTTGTAGCAATGCTCTGAGATTCCTCACTTTTTGCCTGTCACCCCCTTCACAAAATATTATGATATCATCAATAAACTGTAGGTGGGTTACCCGAATATTGTTCCTTCCTATCCTCCAGCCACTCACTTCCTCTTCCCCATCTGCCTTAGAGATTAATCTACTGAAGACATCTACAACTAAGGTGAAAATAAATGGGGAGAGTGGGTCACCTTGTCTAAGGCCTCTACAAGCTGGGAAAAAATCTTTGACCACCCCATTCACCAAGATAGAGTAATGAGAGGAGCTAACACAGCCCTTTACCCAGTTGCATCATCTATCTCCAAAACCATAGCACCCAAGGACTTCTAGTAAAAAACTCCAATCCACAAGATCATAAGCCTTCTCTAAGTCTAACTTACATACAAAACCTTGATTCCCCGACTTTCTCATGTCCTCCACACACTCATTTGCTATTAGGATCTGATCTGTTATTTGCCTTCCTTGCACAAAAGCACCTTGTGCTTGACTAATGATGGAGGGTAGTACTACTTGAATTCTTAAAGACAATACTTTGGCCAGGATTTTATAGATGCTTGTTACCAGACTAATCGGCCTATACTCCTTAGGGTCCTTTGCATCTATCTTCTTTGGGATTAGGGCTAAGAAAGTGGCATTAACTCCAGGGCTTACCTTTTTTATCTGCAAACTCCTAAAACACCCCGATAAGATCTTCTTTAACCACATCCCCAACAGTCCTGATAAAAATCCATTGTGAAGCCATTTGGACCGGGTGCTTTGGGTTTATCCATTGAAAATATCGCATGTCTGATCTCTTCTTCCCTAAAATCCCTTTCTAACCAGTTTACTTGTTCTTCAGATAACCTAGTCCACTCCAAATCTTCCAATGTTGGCCTATTATTCAATGGTTTCCTATAGATTGATTTGAAATGATCCACAAAAATTCTTGCTATCTCATCTTGACTTGTAATTTCCTCCCCATTCACCTCTAACTTAGCCACGAAACTTTTTCTTCTCCTCCCATTAGCCAACGCATGGAAAATTTTATTTCCATCCCCTTCCTTAATCCATTTATGTCTTGACTTTTGCCTCAAGGAAATTTCCTCTCTCAGAAGATCCTCTTCCAAATCCTTCTTTAAATTTGTTCTCAAAGTCCTTTTTTGTTCACTCATCATCCTTTGGGCTTCTTTGGAATCTAATTCCTCAATCCTAGACACCAAATCTTTTGCTCCTCTATCCTTCCAAAATGTTCCCTGTTCCACTCCTTGATTTTGGATCTCAACCTTTTCAGCTTTTTGTGGAATCTCACTCCCTTCCACTTCACCCCTCTTACATCTTCTCTCCACCAATCCCCAATCAAGTGCACAAAGTCCAAGTGAGTCAACCACATATTCTCAAATCTAAACGGCCGTGGAACAGAGGCTATTGTTTCAGGATTTAACTAGATAGGGCAGTGATCAAAAGTGATTCTGGGTAAGGCTCTAGCTATCAGGTTCCTCCAATGGTTCTCCCACTCTTCATTAAAGAGGAACCTATCTAATTTCAAACAAAGGGGGTTTTCTTGGAAATTAGACCAAGTAAAATTAGCTTGTAAGAGGGGTAACTCCTTTAGACCACAAGTATTAATGAATTCATTAAACTTTGTCATGCTGGTTGTAACTGTTCTTTGGCGATTGTTAGATTCATTACAAAACCTAATTACATTGAAATAACCCCCAAGACACCAAGGGCCCTACCATAGACCTCGAATGCCATACAATTCTTCCCACATCTCATTCCCCTCTTTATATGTGTTGGGTCCATAGACATTGGTTAGAACCCAAGTGAAGCCATCCCCCACATTCCTTACCTTTAAAGACAGAATATCTCCCTATTAGCTCCTCCACTAATTCTATAGTATCTTCCCTCCATAATGTTACTAGACCTCCAGAGGCTCCCCAAGAAGGAGCCAAAGTCCAACAAACTCTTCTTGATCTCCATACACTTCTGACCCACCTTCTATCCAATTCTGCCAACTTGGTTTCCTGTATCAACACTATGTCTAGTTTCTCTCTTCTTAGTAAGTCTTTAATTGCCCTTCTCTTTCTTTCACTTCCCATTCTTCTCACATTCTAGCTGATGATCTTCATTGAACACTACTTTCAACAACCCTCCCCAAAAGACTCCACCTTACAGCAGAATCTTTCTTCTTTCCCCTCTCCCACTAAATTCAATATCACCCTCAATATCTGAAATTAACCTTTCCACTTCTGATCTTTTTTTCTTTTTTCCTTTTATTATTCCCCTCATTCTTCCTAGATAATGCATTAGCTTTAACCACCTGTCCCCCAAATTTGAACTTCTATAGTAGTCCTTCTCTTGAGAAATTACTGCTCTCTCCCTTTGATCTAATTCCTCCTCCTTCTCTTTATACTCCTCCAACAATGTGCAGATCCTCTCCCAAATTTTCTCTAATTCCTCCTCCTGTCTCTCTCTAGGTGCCACTTCTCCCTCTCAGTTCACTCTCAGAGTTGTTATTCCCTCTTCTCTTCCCCCCAACTGGAACTTCCACTTGGGATGCTGGAGTATCTGTTTCAAGCACAGAAGGCACATTAGTAACCAAAGCCGAATGGACACTCATACCTTTGTTGTTGGGGACCGATGGAACATCAATCAAGGGAGGGGGACTCGCAT